ACACACACACACACACACACACACACACACACACACACACTTCTCCTTTTAAAGTAATTATCTCAGGTATTTGGATTTAGGTATGAAAAACGGATTCAGATACATGTAGACAAAAATGCAATGAAATATTCAAATGATACTCAAACACAACTGATACTCAATAACAAGGATAGCCATGTCCACAACAGAGAGGCACTGCCCGCTGCAGCTTCTAACAGTGGATCCTGACAGATTGGAATTCACCAGGAAGGAGGTACTTTGGGGCTATCACAACTGCATATGAGAGTGCCAACTGTCCAGATGCTGGTATGCAAATATTGAGGACACCGTATTTAAAAATAAAACCTCCAAAAAACCCAACAAAGAAACCTCCAAAGCTGGTAGTAAATCTGAGTGGGAAAGCACTTTCCTAGCACATGTGAAGTTGAAGACTCCATTACTAGCCCTGCAAAACTAACTGACTGAAACCTCTAGAGACCAAAATTTAAATCAAGCCTATGAAGTAAAACAATTAATTTCAGTAAAATAGACACATTAAGAAAGTGAATCTGAGTAGCCAGGAGGACAACAGTCTCTTATTTCAATAGTTCATTATGGTCTAAGCAGTAGTCATGAGTACCACTCCAAGAACTTCCTTCATTTGATAAACAAAGAGGCTGGTGCCCATGCATATGGGAACTTGTCCATTTTAGGAGATAGAATTAAGCTAAGGTCTTCGGCTAGAATCCTAAATAAAGAAGTACATGTTATGAGCAAATTATCAAGTAACTCAGCAACAAATGGTTAAGAAATACCACAAAATTCAAGAAGGAGGGGAAAGGTTAGGTTATAACTCATATTTACTTAATTTGGGGGGGGGTTAGTTGTGGGGCTTGAACTCTAAGCCTGGGTGCTGTCCCTGAGCTCTTCAGCTGAAGGCTAGTGCTCTACCACTTCTGGCTTTTTCTGCTTATATATTGCCGAGGAATTGAACCCAGGGCCTCATGCATGCAAGGCAAACACTCTACTGCTGAGCCACCTTCCCAGCTCACTTAATTGATTAAAAAAATAAGAACCTATGTTATGTTTTCAGAATCAGGCAGGTTGTACATACCTATAATCCCAATGACTTGGGAGGCAGATTTAGGAGGATCATAGCTTGATGCTAGCCATGGCAAAAGTATGAGATTCTATCTGAAACACTAAAAACCAAAAGGGCTCAGGGTGTAGCTTAAGTGCTAGAGCATCTGCCTAAGGAGTGCAGACCCCAGAGTTCAATTGTTTTCAAACAATATAGGAAAACTTAAAGTAATCTTCCCTCACCACTTTCAATTCTGGTAACTCATCAAAGATAACTATTTTACATTTTTCCAGAAAAAGTTCATAATTTCATTAACATATACTTTTAAAAATGAAAACAAATCAGATCATGCTATGTAACATTATGTTATTTTCCTCACTTAATAATTTATCTTGACCATCAAGACAAGTAAGACAAGTCTATGTCTACTTTCATGGCTGCATACTATTCAACTTGCCCTAAACCTCATAACTAAAACAGCCTGTACTGATACAGGCTTATGTTGTAGTCAATATCTTACCACTTAACATTAGGCTCATAAATCTGGCATCCTTTTTCAAATACATCAGTAATATTAAATAATAAATAGTAGAGGGGTAAAGGTGTAGCTCAGTCATAGAACACATGTTTGGTATTCACAAGGGCAGCAACAGAATTAATAAATAATAACTTTAATGCTAAGAAGCAGAAACCCTTGGCTAAACCCAAAGCATTGATGCATTGTCCTTGTACATCAACTATGTGTAGTGCCGGCTGTCCTTGCACCCTTAGGGATCCCAGCAATAATGAATTATTTCAATTTTTGATAACCTGTTAGAGAAAATAATGCAGAATTGTTGTTTTGATTAGTATTTTTTAACTGTAAATGAGGTGGAGCATCTTTCCTCTATCCGTGTTTTTTTATGTGAGCTATATATTTTTCTAGTATATAATTTGTATATGTGTGTGTGTTGGTCCTAGGGCTTGAACTTAGGGTCTAGCCACTGGCCCTGAGATTTTTCCCTCAAAGCTAGCATTCTACCACATGAGCCACTTTTGGCTCCTGAGTAGCTAGGATTACAGGTGTGAGCTACCAGCACCCAGTTTCCACTGTGTTCTTTTTCTTATAGATTTATATAAATTATTCTAAGCCTGCCCTTTGATACATATATTGCAAACATTTCCTCTTTTCTTTTTTACAAAGCAAGGCACTTTGTATATTTGTGTGATTACATTTTTCATCTATTCCTGTATAATTTTGTGTATGTTCCTATTTAGAAACACTCAAGGCTAAGACATCTCTTTGTACTTTCGTTTTTTTATATTTAAAGCTTTCCTCCGTTTGGGATTTATTTTGATGAGAGAAATGAGATTGAGATCCAGATTTTTTTTTCCTAAAGCTCTGACACGCCCTCTCCTTCCTCTTCCCATCCCCAACCCCCTCTCACCTATTCCCCAACCTCCCCTCTCCTCCTTTCCTCTTCTCTTTTAGTCCCTTCCTATGTGTATGTCCTGCAATGAACTACACTCCAAGCCCCTAAGCCACTGCTTTTTTAAGGAATTCTCCATCTTGATATTTACCTTATAATAAATCCACCAGTTCATCCAGGATTTTCTTTGTTGTTCCAATAGTGTTTATGGTTATTCCTTTGATTGTTTTCTTCAGAATTTTCCTGGTTATTGTAGGTTATTTATTCTTCTAGATCATGATTGGATTTTCAACAGCAGTACCACTGACAGCTAGGCAGAATAATTGCTGGGGACTGTTCAAGGCCTTGTAAGATGTTTAGCAACATCTATCCACTAGAGGTCAGTATCATCTCTTGGTTGTGACAACCAAAAAATGTCTTCAGGACAGGCCAAAAGCTCACTGGAATGTGTGGTGGGAACTGATTTGAGCCCCTCCCAATGAAAAACCACTGTTCTATTCTTGTTTTCCTACTGGTATTTTAATTAGGATGAAAATGCATTGATAGACTACTTAGAAATCCGTATTACATTTAATACTCTATTAATCTTAAACTATTCTACTAATCTTCCTACCCAGAAACATGTATAATCTTCCACTCTTATACTTGTTCTTCAAAAGGATTTTAGAATTTTTTAAAAAAACAAAAAAACAGATAGCCAGCTGGACACACCTATAATCCTACCTACTCAGAAGGCTGAGCTCTGAGGAACACAGTTCAAAGCCAACTCAGGCAGGAAAGTCTGTGAGACTTATCTCCAATTAACCACCAGAAGACCGGAAGTGGTGCTGTGGCTCAAGTGGTAGAGTGCTGGCCTTGAGTTGAAGAGCTCAGGGACAGTGCCCAGGCCGAGTTCAAGCCCCACGACTGACAAAAAACCACCACCACAACAGATAGCCTCTTGTACAATTAACTGTATCTCTCACTCTTTTAAAAAATCATTTTCCTTCTTTCATAAATGGAATTGTTTCTTACATTACCATCTTTTCTAACTAGTGTCTGATAAGAAAGCTATGTATGTATGTATGTATGTGTGTGTATATATATATGAATGTATTCATTGGAATGAGGTCTCTATGTTGCCAAGTTGGCTTCAAGCTCATGGGCTTAGCCTCTGAGTAGCTGGGACTATAGGCGCTCATCACGGTACCTGAAAAGATATATACTTCTTTCGTAAAAGTCTACACATTATAGCTTGCCAAGAGTTTGTTATTAAGTCAGAAAGGTTGCTAGTTGTGACAAATACATCTTTCATGTCTATCAAGATGATCATATGGTTTTTCTTGAGCATGTTAAAATTTCATGATGGGCTATATTCTAATTCCTGATAGTCTTTCATTACTGGATGATATAAATCTACTTGGTTATGCTGTATACTACCTTTTTACATTTATTATCTCATTCTTTTTGCTAATATTCTGATCTCATATCTTTGTATAAACATTTAAGAGTGAGATTACTCTATGAATTTCAGTGATGCACTGTTAACTTTTTGTTGTTGTTGTTGCCAGTCTTGGGGCTTGAACTCAGGGCCTGGGCACTGTCTCTGAGCTTCTTTTGCTCAAGGCTAGCTCTCTATTACTTGAGCCACAGTGCCACTTCCAGTCTTTTCTGTTTATGTGGTGCTGAAGAATCAAACCCAGGGCATCATGCATGCTAGACAAGTACTCTACCACTAAGCCACATTCCCAGCTCCCTGTTAACTTTTGGAATCAGTGTTAAGCTGACTTGATATAAATTCATCTGTTGTGCTTTTAAAATTAAATGTAAAATAATAAAAATAAATGTATATGTACACGTGTGTCTGCTCGTGTGAAGTAAGTGTTTTATTTTTATTTTTTGTCATTATTAGGGTTGGAACTCAGAGCTCCATGCTTGCTAGGCAGGTGTTTTACCAATTAAGCCATGCCTCCAGCCCTTAAATCAGTCTTAAAACAGTAAAACTATTATATAGAAACACCAGACTGTTCCCTTTACGCCCAAAAGCCATATGTAATCTCCACAGATTCACCTTTTTGAAAACTGTAGGAATTAACATAGCCCTTTGTGATCGTGGTCTGGAACAGATGTTTTTGTGAGGAGAGAACACCATCATTATGTCCACTCCTCTTTGACCCTTATCCTTCACCAGTAATGGCATCTTCAGTTACTTCCCATGTTAGACAACGTAGTAGTGCATTGGGAACTGCACTATGGTGAGGGGATGAACAGCACAGCTTCTTAGCTCTCTGCACAGAAACAATAATCTAACACAACCCAGGACACACCACCTTGCCTGGATCCCAGAAGAGTCACACACACATATGCTGACAAGAGGATTACTGGGGACCACGACACCACTGACCTCTGTTTCCATACTGAAACAGAGCCTGGCACAGCCCAAGTGCTCAGTAAGCATATGATGAGCACAGCAAGTGCAACTACAGATGTTCTTTCTCAGGGTTGAGATGAGTAGCCTTTTGGGACCTTCAATCCTTCTGGCTCCCCCATACCTGTGCTGCTCTTCAAGCGGCTCTCTGTGAGCTCAGAAATCGCTCCTGCTGTCACAGTCTTCTTCAATCGTGCTGTCCCTGATGAGGTGGTACTACCAGGCTTGTCCAGCATGTCCTCACTACTGGCCCTCTTGAGCTGGAGAGAGGATGGAAGGAAAGGAAGAGGATGAAGAGACCATTTACAGTAGGGAATACCATAGACCAAAATGTACTTGCACAGAACTAGAGGACCAGGCATGTGGCTATACTGAGAGCAGTCTGAGCACTCTGACTGTGTGAAGTAAAAAAAATGCAAAGCTTATTACTTCAGTTATTCACATGCCAAGAGATGATCTTCCATAACTGCTTCCAAGAGTAGAGTAAGACCCACTTCTTCATGCTTCAAATACAGTAGCCTCCCCTATGTGCAGTGGGTGCCTGAAACCTGGGCAGTACTAAATTCTACACAGGTGTTGTTTCATCCCTAGTGCAGTTCTTGACCACCTCAGCATACATGTTTTTCCCACCTAAGTCAAGATCTTTCACCTTTTCACTGAAAGGAATCAGTATGTGTCACATTCAAATTGCCAATAGAGCTATTCCTGAATTTCCAGGTAAAATAATGCAAACCTCGAGCCCAAGCACTGAGATTCCAGGACAGCTGCTGTGATATCTGAGATGGCTACTAAGTAACCAGCGGGTGGGTGGCATGTACAGCATGGATATGGCCAACAAAGCCATGATTTACGTGCTCAGCTGATTGGCAGATTTCATTATGCTACTCACAATGCCATGTAATTTATAGCCTGTGGATTAATTATTTCTGGAATTTCCCATTTAATATTTGTGCACCATGGCTAAACTAAAACTACAGAAAGTGAAACTATTAAGGGGTGCTATGGTAACAAGGGGTACAAAACATCTGCTTTTCTGGTTGGGGGAAAATGTTGTAAGTACAAAATGCAGGAAAAGGCAATACACAAAAATTCAGGGCTAAGAAAATATGGCTTTGTCATATGTATCAGGAGGAAGCAGAGAAAGGGAAATAGTCTGAATGTCTACCATGTGCTCAATACAAGGCACTTTACATTATTTCATACAGAAAATGTATCCAAAGGTAAGAAAGAAACTTCCATGGAAGCTGGAGAAACACTGCTATGGGCTGACAGGAAGAAAACAGAATACCTCCGCTCCCTATCAAAAATCAGTAAGACAAACATTTGCTGAAAGGTACCAAAGTCTGAGAAGGACTCCTAAATGAGTTCATACTTATACTCCAGATAGAGTCTTTTAGCACTAATTGACAAAACTGCAAATAAACTCTCTCAACAACTGCTAAGTCTTCTTTAAAAAATACTACTAACCAATAGGCACTGGTGGCTCATGCCTGTAATTCCAGCCACTTGGGAGACTGAGATTAGGAGGATTGTGTGTCTAGGCCAATGCCTAGGCCAATCACTGGGCTCAGTGATGTGTAACTATTAACCAGATTACAATGGGAGGCCTAAACAGGTAGATAATGGTTCTGGAACACACCTAGGCAGAAAGGGAGAATCTATCTTCCAAAACAACTAAAGCAAAAAGTGGCTGAAAGCATAGTTCAGAGACAGAGTGACTGCCTAGCAAGCACAAGGTCTTGAGGTCAAACACCAGCACACACACACACACACACACACACACACACACACACACACACACACCTGAAGACTAGAGACAGACATGTCTAGCGCTACCTTAATAGCAACTATTATTAAATACTGTAGCTTAGTTTATTTTTATTTGGTAAAGGGATGCAAAAGAGAATCCAGGACATAGGTCTTCTATCTGCCAGGTTCCCAGAAATCACTCAGGTAGAAGGCAGTCCAGGGGGTGATAAAAGATATACACCAGGCTCTAGAGAGACTACAGGAGATAGATCATATCCATCTCTTCTGACCACTCTGCTTCCTTGACTCTAAAATGAAAAACAACAACATATCTATCTCTAGGATTATGCCTTTAATTAAGAACTCAAAATTCATTAAGAATATAGAGAAGCGGAGTGGGGGTAATGGCGGTGGTGGGGAGTGGTTCATACCTGTAAGCCTAGCTACTCAGGAGGCTGAGATTTGAGGATCACAGTTCAAAGCCAGCCCCATCAGGAAAGGCTGTGAAATTCTTTTTTTTTTATTTTTTTTATTTTTGGGTCCAGTTGTGGGGCCTGAACTCTGGGTCTGGGTGCTGTCCCTCAGCTCTTCAGCTCAAGGCTAGCACTCTACCACTTGAGCCACAGCGCCACTTCCGGCTTTTTTCTTTTTGCTTATGTGGTGCTAAGGAATGGAACCCAGGGCCTCAGGCATGCAAGGCAAGCGCTCTACCACTGAGCCAACTTCCCAGCCCTGTGAAATTCTTATCTCCAATTAACCATCAAAAAGCCTGAAGTCCTCCGGTTCAATTCCTCAGTGCCACATAAACACAAAAAGCCAGAAGGAGCACTATCGCTCAGGTGGTAGAGTGGTAGCTTTGAGCAAAAGAAGCTCAGGGACAGTGCCTAGGCTTTGAGTTCAAGCCCTGGTACAGGCACCAAAAAGAAACAACAACAACAAAAAGCCTGAAGAGGAGCTGTGGCTAAAGAGGAAGAACACCAGCTGTGAATGAAAAAGCTAAGGGACAGCACCCTGAATTCAAGCCTCAGTACTATCAAATACAAACAGACACACACACACACACACACACACACACACACACACACACACACGAACATAGGGAATGTTAGTAGATATCATTTTTTTCATTTGTTATCATCATCACTACCACCATTACCATCATAGTTGCAATCATAGTTGTCTGGTTGAACTCAGCCAGAGAGCACCAGCTTTGTTGTCTTTCTCCCAAAGATGATTCTCTAGACTGCAAGCAATGGAAGCAATTTTATATTTACAAAAAAAGAAAAAAAGAAACTAGAGCATGAAGTACAGTAAGCCAACCTTATCTGTGGATTTAGCACATGTAATTTTGACGAAGCATAATTCATCATAGTTTAAAAAAGAAGCAAATAAATAAAAGAAATTACAAGCTGGGTGCTGGTGGCTTATATCTATAATTCTTGCTGAGGATCAAGGTTTGAAGCCAACCTCAGCAGACAAATCTGAGAGACTTTTTTTTTGTGGGGGGTGTCCGGTTGTGGGGCCTGAACTCTGGGCCTGGGCGCCGTCCCTCAGCTCTTCAGCTCAAGGCTAGCGCTCTACCACTTGAGCCACAGCGCCACATCCGGCTTTTTTCTTATGTGGTGCTGAGGAATTGAACCCAGGGCCTCAGGCATGCAAGGCAAGTGCTCTACCACTGAGCCACCTTCCCAGCCCCAAATCTGAGAGACTTTTATTTCCAATTAGCCAGCAAAAAAATTGGTACTAGAGGAATAGCTTAAGTAATAGAGCACCAGCCATAAGCAGGAAAAGCTGAGCAATAGCACAAAATCCTGAGTTGCAAGCCCCAGTACACATACATATATACAAACACATACCCACATGTGCATAGAAACAAGCACATATGTACACACACGTGCACAAATTAACATAAATTTTATTTTTGCCAGTCCTTGGGCCTGAACTCTGGGTCTGGGTGCTATCCCTCAGATCTTCAGCTCAAGGCTAGCGCTCTACCACTTGAGCCACAACGCCACTTCTGACTTTTTCTGCTTATGTGGTACTGAGGAATCAACTCAGGGCCTCATGCATGCAAAGCAAGTACTCTACCACTAAGCCACCTTCCCAGCCCCTAAAATATGTATTACCATGAGCACATTACACAGCTCAGTTGATATGGAGCACTGCCAGTCCAAAGCTATTACTAGTTGTATTTAAGTTATTGTATGATCTGTTGAGTGTTTCCTAGCCCTGGATTTTGTGAAAATATTCATTTCCCAAATCAAATGATGCCCAAACACCAAAGGAAAAGTTAATGGGCTTCATTTAAGTAATACCTTCACCTCCTCAGTAGCTGCCAAAGCAGAGGTTTCCTTTTATTTTTTCTTTTTGTTATTGTTTTTGTTTTGGTGCTAGGGATGGAATCCAGGTCTGCATGCATGCTAAGCAGATGATGCTCTACCACTGAGCTGAACCCCACAGCCAACAGAGT